CCCGGAATTGCGGGAGGTAGTATGATGTAAGTGAAATTTTTTTTTTGTTGCACTACTTATGATTGCCAGTGTACGTACTGTACGCTAAAAATTTTCAGGTATCATATAAATGGCACATCACTGGTTGTAATAGAATTGATGTTTATTATTTAGGCTGTTCAAAGTTGATTATTAGGATAACGTCAACATTTTGGGTTCAGGCGTGGGGGGTTAATTAAAACAAACAAAATAAATGTCGCAGCTGAAGCTGAAATTAGGGACCTTGATTTAAAAATAAAACCCTACCAAAATCTAATTATACTCTTTTATTATTAAAACTACCACTAAACCCTAACCTAACCCTAAAAAAAACCCCCTAACAAAAGGCCCAAAAAATTTTTAAAAATTTCATATTTAAATAATTAAATTTCCAGCATCAGCCGCGACGATAAATAAACACGATTGTAAATTTTTATTTAACTCATATATAGGAGAAAGTTTATTGGCTTATATTCAAGCTGATTGTTGGGTTAACGTAGCTTGGGGAGAAATGAAATAGCAAATCGAAAGCGCAATCACATAATAATCGACCTCCTGATCTCATAATTCTTTATATTAAATCTTTCTGTAATGAACTCATTCTATAATGAGCTTTTTTATAAAAAATTATTATAGATTTCGGTATAGGAACATAGTAAATTATTTCTATAAAGAATTTTTTAAAAATCTTTTACTATAATGAACCTCTTTATAATGGACCCTGGACATAATAAACTGTGAAATCTTAAATTTATATTAGTTGGGTTTGGAAAATGTAGATTTTGTAATTCAATGATCTGATGTCATTTGTACAATTTAATTCAAGCTTTACAATTTATTTTAAATTTTCTCGTGATTATTTAGTATCCTTAGAAATTATTCTGGGCTAATAGTAGTGGTTTTTGTCGTTTAGGAAACAATGAAGAAAGCCTTCGCTTCCAAAATAAATTAAAATAAAATAAAGAAAAAGATTGATAAAAGCACGAAAATTAAGTTTGTAAAAAAATTTTAATACAAGTCAGAATATAATTGACTGCGGCAGCCGCAGTGATTAAATATTGTTGGTCGATTTTAATCACATGATTATTGAACAGCTAATCGAGAGGGGGATTATGTTAACCTAATAATTAACTTTAAACATCCTTACTTTATTTTACTCCAGCTAATAAACAATATCCATAAAATCATTCTACCAATCCATTATTCTAGCCTTTTGTTCATATTTTTAAAAAGAAAAAGCTTAAAGGTGATCATATTAAGCATAGATGATAAACATAATTACTGATCCCCCCAAAATCCAAATAAATAATCCAAATTAGAAGCAATAGAGGAAGAGGAAGGGGAAGAGGAAGAATTGTTAGGTAAAGAAAATGTATCACTAAAATTAACGGGCGTGTTGTCATTTTGCATAATGTAATTGGCATCAATATGTACTTGATAGGGAAAGAAATCGCTTTGGATTGGTTGAGGTTCTTCACTACCGTTGAAGTAATAAGGAATGGATACGCCAAATTGAAATTCATTTGAAGTTAATACGTGATCTTGTTCTGTATTTATAGCTTCATAGAAGTAATTTTCAAAACCATTAGCTGCTCTATTTTCCGCTTTCGGACCTCGTTTTTTAAATGATTTAGCATAAGTACATTGAAGGCTATGTGATGCACAATATGTGCAAGTAACTCCTTCGGAACACTTTATGTGTTTTTTTCGACAATTAGTACATGCTTTGGTCGCATAGGAGCCTCTTCGTCTTTGACCTGAATAAGACATGGTCAGCTAAAGTGTTTAACGAATAAATATTATAGAAATAAATCTTATAAATAAGAATAAATAGACGCTAAAAACAGCCTAAAATATTTATTTTAATAAAATTACAATTAAAATAATTTATTTGATGCGAAAGAAAAAACCGAGTGAGAATGCACATATTTATAAAAAAATATGATGATAACATGTCTACTAAAGTATTCGTTTAATTTATTATCTGTGTTTGTCTCTCTGTTCAAAAATAAAGGTTTTGCCCTATTATAACTATATATGAAAGATTAGATTATACCAATGATTTGCAAAATATATATAAAATGCTGCATACCGATGCAGATCAAAAAGTTATTTATATTTACTTTGTATAAAAAAAAAACCGGTTAACAACCGGTGATTTGTAGATCATAAAAGGAAATTCTGTTGAACAGACTTTATTTGTTAGTGTGTACGAGGTACGTATATACCAGGGACCATCAAAATTTTGGACATTATTTATATGATTTCCAAATTTGTATAAATGATATCCAAATTTTTGACGGTCCTGGTATGTACCTAATCACGGATAATAATTTAATCTGTTGTGTAGTCATGCACGCAATTTGTCACGGATTGACTATTACAAACCCGATTTTAATCGATTGATCAACTAATCGATTAATCGATTAACAACTAATTGATTAATTGATTAACTGATTGATCGATTATTCGATTAATTGATTAATCGATTAGCTGTCTATATGCTAATATATGTATGCTAGCTGCTATACACCTATTTAAATTTATTAACTACTGAACTATTCGAAACTGTTTAAGAATTTACTTATTTATTCTAATTTTAAAGTGTAATTATTGCTGATGAGAGTTCTAATTTGGTATGAGTATCATTATATAGTAGCCTTATTTCTTCAACAATTGTTCTCTTATAGGCCATTTGCTCAACATCACATGAGGTTAAAGTATTTGGTTAGTTGCAGTTGTCACAGTAATTTTTGTTAATAATCAAATTGTTATAGATGCATAGTAGAAATATAATAAGGTACTATATCTAACAGGTGCAAAGTGCAAATATTATATAATAAATAAATAATTAATAAATGGGAGGAATAGTAATAAGGAGAAAGGAATAGTAAGTAATAAAAAAATGGTAAAAGTAAAAAGAAGATAGAAGTTAGAGTTACAAAATTAAAGAAACAACATAAAGTTCAATAAACATAATGATTACACTTTCCTTAAAGTTCAACAGTTAATAATTCTGAATCTTTTAGTAAAAGAATCATATGTATAACTTATCAATGCTTAAAGATAAAATTTACATGTTTTTTTATCACTTTTCTATTCTGATATATAATAATATTGGAATCCAATCAACTTGCTAACAATCACTTCATAGACACTATATTTTACTAACAATTAATTACCAACAAGTTTATTTCACTGACACCTTATTTCACTGAAGCTCATTTTACAAACAAAGTAATTCTGGTCAATATTATTAGAGTTAGATTAGAATTAGAACTAAAGTTAGTATATTTTATAATAAAAAACTTGTTAGAGCTTCAGTGAAATAGACTATCAATAAAAGAAACTTGTCAATAAATAATTTACAGTAAAATGTGGTGTCTATGAAGTAATTGTTAGTGAAATAATATAGACATACACAGGGTATTATTTTCAGATTATTTCTATGTCTAAATCTCTAAAAGAACAAAAAAGTAAACAATCTAGTCTGCAATATTATATTACAGCAATTTTTTATACTATTCTAAAAATTATAACTATATTTAACAGATGTATTAATAAAATATTTAATAAATAAATAAATACTATAAAACAGAAAACTTTAAAAAATAGGTTTTAAGATGGGCAAATATATTAAATATAGTTTTGTCAGTATTTAAAAATAAAACATTTCAGATTTAGACAGTATAAAATTTAAAAAAGAATAAAATTTTCTAAAAGTCAGATTATAACTAGCATATTAATAATATTAAATAGTTAAACTTGAATTAGAACTTTATGCTTATAAGTATAGATATCTAATACTGAATAGCAATGATATAGTCCATATTGGGTATGCTATGTATTACTATATGCTTAACTAATCAATTAGTCAATTAATCAGCTAATCAATTAATCAGTTAACTATTAATTAATTAATTAATTAATTGATTGATTGATTAGTTGAATGTAATTAACTATAATCAATTTTTACAACCAACTAATCGATTACAATTTTTTGCTTGATTTATAACACTAATAAGTATTATTAAAATCTGTACTCATTTTTAGTTATGTGATATAGATCTATATTAAAAATCAGTCAATATGCTCATATATTATATTTTCATACTTTGAGCAAAGATATTTTATCAATTATCTAGCCAAATTTGATAAACTTTTTTTTATTTGCATTTTACAAATGCATAGAATTTAAATAAAAAGGTTATCAATTTTACTTGGTAGTTTTTGAGATATCTTTGCTCAAAGTTTGAAAAAAATTTGACATAGCTTTATTTTTATAGATATTGAGTTTTTTTAAAACTTTGAGTAATAATATCTCATGAACCACCAGGTCAAATTCAATAAACATTTTTTTATTTGAATCATATAAATCTGTAGAACTCAAATAAAAATGTTTATTATATTTGGCTAGATAATTAATAAGATATCTTTACTCAAAGATTTAAGAAACTCAAAGTATTGCATTTATCAAAATAAAGCTACACCAAAACTTTTCTGCAAAAGATATCTTAACTGCCAAGTCAAATTTAATTATTTGGATTTTACAATCTTATAGAATCTAATAAATGCATTAAGATTAGCATAATTAGTAAATTAAATATATAAAATGAGATTAATTAATTATAATTTATTAACTTTTCTGGGTTGATCTTTAGTAGAGGTGGCCACTATAGAAATATCATAAGATTATAATATATAAACATAGTATTTGAACTAATTTAAACAAATTTGAGATTAGTTAGAGTTAGAGTAAGGGTTATAGTATAGTTTATAGTTAGCTCTAGGATTAGAGTTAGAGTTTTTTTATATTATAATCTTATAATATTTCTATATTGGCCACCTATACTAAAGGAGATCCAATAAAAATAGCAAAATATCATAAAAAATTTTTCAAAAAGATTAAAAAAAATCTTATAAAAAAATTAAAAAAAAAACATTCACTAATTACAGTCATCCCCCCATACAATCACCTCCTATATAATCACAAACTCTATATAATCACATAATTTTGTATAGGCATTTTTTTTAATATTAAAAATACCTTTATATAATCACAATCATAGTACTATCACTATCACATTTTTTAAAAAAGTTTTTTTACCAATTTATTAATAAAATTACCTCTTTAAATCACAAATTAATAAAAAATTTTTTATTAAATTCATAGATTTGTAAAGATATCTTTAAATAAAATTTTTGAAAAATTTTTACTCAAACTTTGGTAATGGATATCTCAATAACTATTACTCTAAATTGGCTCAAATTTTTATTATAAATAGTGTTGATATTCTTATATTAAATATAAAAATTTCAGCCGATTTAATCTAGTAGTTCTCGAGTAATTACTTGTATAAGATAGTCAATTTTTTTAAAAAAAATGACTATCGTATACAAATGATTACTCAAAAACTACAAGACAAAATCGGCTAAAATTTTTATATTTAATATAAGAATATCAACACTATCTATGGTAAAATTGAGCCGATTTGGACTGATAGTTATCGAGATATCCATCACCAAAGTTTGAGTAAAAATAATGAATTTTTTTATAATAAAATTTTTTCTATTTTTACTCACGATTTGACAACAGATATCTCAATAAATAAGAATTCAAATTAGCTCAAATTTTTATTACAGATAGTATTGATATTCTTATATTAAATATAAAAATTTTAGCCGATTTAATCAGGTAGTTCTCGGGTAATTGCTTGTATACAATAGTCAATTTTTGAAAAAAAATTAACTATCATATACAAATAATTATTCAAAAACTACTAGACCAAATCAGCTAAAATTTTATATATAGTATAAAAATATGATCACTATCTATGATAAAAATTTAAGCCAATTTAGTTCAATTGTTATCAAGATATCTATCGTCAAAGTTTGAGTAAAACTAGCAAAAATTTAATTATAAAAAATTTGTTATTTTTACTCAAAAATTGACAATGGATATCTTGATAACTATAGATCCAAATCGGCTTGAATTTTTACTATAGATATTGTTAATAATACTATATATAAAAATTTTAGCTGATTTGGTTTAGTAGTTCTTGAGTAATCGTTTGTATACTTTAGCAATTTTTTAAAAAAAATTTACTATTGCATACAAATGATTACTCATGAACTACTAAACCAAATTGGCTAAAATTTTTATATTTAATAGAAGAATACATATACTATCTATTATAAAAATTTGAACTGATTAGATTATTAGTTATCAAGATATCTATAATCAAATTTTGAGTAAAAATAACAATTTTTTATTTAATGGATATTTTAAAATTTATCAATAAAAAATAATATTTTACCTTTTTAAAATCACATTATATATATTATTGTATATTATATAATTATATAGAGGTGCTTCTATTTAGTCACCCCTCTACATAATTACCCAAAAGTGTTAGACAAACTGGGTGATTATATGGGAGGAAGACTATATATAAATTCAAATATAAAATTATAAAAAATATAACATCTAAGAATCCTATTAGCATATTTAACTACAGTAAAATATATAAAATAATGTCTATTGGTATAGTCATTCTAAAATAACATGTATATACCTTATAGAAATACATCCAAATAATAACATATGTATATAAAATCTTATCCAATTTGATGCAGCAATCTATAATATTACATGTGTGCTGGGTTTATTGTTTCGAAATCATATTATAATTTAAAAAAAAATATATAAAAAATTTTCTTTTCTTTGTTATTTTTAAATTATCGAACCTATTGTAACCATATTAGCTTAT